TTCCCTCTCCAAATTTTCAAGGTATTCGAGATCCTCCCAATCCAAATCAACTACTGGTTCAAACATCATGGTTCTCTCTCTCTTTTTCTTTTTTTTTATGACTCTAAAAAATTTTCGAACAAAATAGGGGAAAATTTCGAAAATTCGAACCTCCAACAAGACTCGAAAAATTCGAACCAAAAAAAAAGAAATTCGGCCCCTCAACAAAAGGTAATAACCGAACAAAAATCAAACAAAGGACTAACAAGATGACACTTTTTTTTTTTAAGACTAAATTTCGAAAAATAAATGGGAAAATTCGAACCAAAAATTCGAACCCCAACAAAAAATAAAGAGAAATTCGGCCCCTCAGCAAAAGGCAAACCGAAAAAAAAAAGAAAAGATACGATAAATAAAAACACGATCAACACCTCTCAATGAAAGCACCAATGATGACGGACCGCTGATCGATGTGTTTATCTATACGTTGGGTTGTGAATAATCGCGCACTCAGGGCCTTTGATTATCCACGATAGGTGTATCTAGCAGACGCACTCAGGGCCTTCTCCTAGACACTGTGACTTCGAGACGCTCTCAGGGCCTTCTCTCAGACACTGTATGTAAACACGCACTGACGGCCTTGTTTATCACACGTTAGAACATAAAGTTCCCCTCAAAATTGGCTCACCAATTCAATACTCAATTCAAGACATAAAATATGATGAGGTACATGGGGTGTTTATAGGTGCAAAATAAATCTATGCCTAATCAAACTAGATCTCCTATTCTATGCAACAATATAAATCCTAAAGCTAATAAATCTCCTAACATCTTCTACTACTAATAAATAAAAGCAACATGGAAATAAAATCCTAATATTACTAAAATACTAATTGTTTGGCTTGCACTCCAAACAATTCTAAAAGCTTCCAAACTTCACATTCCCAAGTAATTTCGGCCGCCTCTCTCGCCTTATGCGTGCGACACCCGCGAGGCCTAATACTCATCGGCCGCGGCTTCGCTCGCGTTCACTGCGCACGCGCAATCCTCCCGCGCTATTCTCGCGTCTGCCATGTTGCTTGCGCGTGCTCCCTGGCACTCCGCGCCTTTGCGCGTTATCACCCGTCGCGCACCCGTGCTCGCCCTTTATGGCTCGCGTGCGTCTTTGCTCACCCTTTGCCCGTGCATTACCTTTCGATGCGCACCTTTCGCTTATTAGCCTTGTGATCATCTTATCGCGTGTCCTTGCGCACTTCCATGCGCGACCCCGTGTTTGTGTGGACTCGTGTCGCTTCTCATGTGTTTGAGTGCCTCGCATACGAGCTCGTACCCGTCTTTTAGGCCATGCATGCGTCGTTTTGGCCCTATTTTCAGCCTCATCGGGTCGTCTCGACTCTTGGTCCTTCTTGTCGTCGGGGCTCGGAACCCACTTCCGCATCACGAGTGCCGCCCGCGCCTCGTGGAAAATTAAGCCGCGCGGGGTTTTGGTTCTGGCTGTTGGGCGTCTCGGGATGCCGCGGGGGCGGGAAAGCATGCGAGCTCACGAGTTGCGCGCGCGAGGCCGCGCCAGCTCTCGCCACGCGGAAAAATCGCAGCTGGAAATTGGGACAAGGTGGCTGGCGAGCTCGCGGAACTTGCGGCGTGCACGCGAGTACCGAGCGCACCGCGAGCGCACGAGCGGGCAAGCCTTGGGCACATTTGGTCTTCCATACTTAGGCGTATTTCGCCAAATTTCGAGTCGAAAACTCGACTTAACTCTCAAACGCAAATCACCCTCGATTTCACTTTTTTTTTAGAATAAAGAAAAGAAGTAAAGAAGAGGAAAAATCAAAGAGAAAGGAAAGAAAGAACGAAGTGAAAAACGTGGGTTGCCTCCCACAAAGCGCTCAATTTTAAGTCGTGAGCTCGACGTATCCGTCTGTTCCATAGTAACATGGCTCCTCGCGCCGAGAATAAAGGACTTGAACATTCTTAGCTTCCCCCTCGAGATAAGGTTTTATCCGGTGGCCGTTCACTTGGAAAGAAGTTTTGTCAATTGGATTAAAAAGTTTAACGACCCCGAGGGAAATACCTCCTCAATTTCGAATGGACCACTCCATCTCGAAGCTAGACTGTGGCGGTCGGAGCTAGATATCCTCGATCCGGCACATCATTATATTTTATCATGTATACTTTACATGGTTTTGCATTATTTATTTATTATTAAAACTTTATAAGCCTAGAGCTCTAACGGTTCGATGTGTGCAATCTAGTTCCTAATGTTTTATGGTTAGGATAACACAAGTACATATTCATAGGATAGGAATGTATGTTGATCGGATAGCGTGACAACATTTAGTATATATTACATGGAATGAAACTATAGTATATGTTGTTCACAGATCCCATTCACAGACTCAACTTCCTCGCTCTGCAATATACCTTTATCCTAATTGGATTTTAGAAGAACATATATGGCATGTGGTATACGTAAGTAGTGGGTTGATGTATTAATTAATGACAAGGCAGCAACCGGTAAAACCTTGTACCATTTGTAGTACATATTGGTCCCCACCCTACACAAGCTACTTGGTTTATTCCATTATATAAACCGAGAGAACTGAACCACTTCATACCACAAAAACACTTACAACTGAACCATACTACAACCCTAAAACATAAGAGAAGAGGAGAGAAGAAAAGCAAAGAAAAATGCATCCCATGACGATCCTCATCCTTTTCTTAATGAGCAGCAGCAGCTTTTCGATCGGTGCTGGCACCACCTTCACTGTTTTGCTGGCCGGCCAAAGCAACATGGCCGGTCGAGGCGGCCTCAACGGTGCCGGCGTGTGGGACAGGTTCGTCCCACCCGAGTCGGAGCCGCCCATACCAGACTCGGTCATCAGACTGAGTCCTGATCTGACGTGGGAAAGGGCATCCGAGCCTCTCCACCGCGGCCTCGACTTCACTGTCCAAGAGCCGAAGCTCGGCATCGGCCCCGGGATGCCCTTTGCCACCGCCCTCCTCCGACACGTCGACCCTCTCAACACGGGCACTGTCACCGTGGCCCTCGTCCCGGCCGCCCAGGGCGGTACGAGCATCGTCCAGTGGCAGCGCGGCAACAACACGGCTTACATCAACCTGCTCGCCCGGGCCGAGGCCGCCAGCCGGTCGCTGGGGCC